GGTAGCCCGAGGCAGGGCAGGAATTCCAGTGCTCCTGTGTCCTGCCGTGTGAGGAGGCATGCGAGGAATTATAATTCCCTCTAGACATGTGACCCGGATTGCATGGGGAATTCGCATTCCTGGTTCCTACTTCCACCTCGCACCTCGCCCCCGCCATACACAGTAACACCTGCAAGTGGGTTTATTACCCTTCCTGAGAGCACAAGCCCAACCGTATTTTCAGAAAATTTGAGAAGAGCATCTACAAAGGAAAACAAAAAGGAAGAAAAGAGTCCAAAGCACATTGATGTAATGTAAGAGCTTATCCATACAAAACAAACTTGCTGAAAGAAAAATCAACTGTCACTTTAAAATCCGACATTAAGTTTCTCAAATCGCAACCCTTAATCAGGAGTAATACTTGAAGAGGAACAAAGAGAATTTATGATGAAAAATCAGGACAGTTGAGCGCTAGGCTCAGCGGGACTAACTGCATGACAATATGGATAAGAATGATAATTGCATTAGCTTAGCTTGAAATGACTGGCCAGAGCTGGATTTTTTGGTCAGCTGGATTTTTGTAACATCTTCATTTACTTTTAAGCAAACTTGGAAGGAGAATTGCAAATAGCGTAGGGCACGTCCATCTAGTCTCTTAGGGGTAGGGGGCATTTCAGAAATTCATCCTGACATGGGCTGAGAGCTCTTTGAAATGCACAGGCCCAAGTCGGTTGCACCAAAGGTCCCTTCTGGTTTTTTTTTTTTTTTTTTTCTAGCTATTAAGGTTGACAGGAGAAGGTAGCTCCTGCAGATGAAAATCAGAGGCGCCCAAACAGCACGGGTCTCGTTGTAGTCCTCGCGTTGTATTCTGCCCCCTGCCAGACCCTCTCTGCGATCATGCGCTCACCTAACCCGATTTTTACATCCCATTTATCTGAATTCTGCATAAAATAAGCAAGCCAAAATTACCCACAGCACATCCAGCTCGCGTTGCAACACAGCCGGCCTCTCTCGGCGCTCGCTCTTATTCACCTTCCTCAGAGGCTTAAATAAACATGAAACAGGTTAAAAACAAACTCCTGGCGGCGGCCCCTTCCTGAGCCGGCCGCGGCGCGGGCGCTTCCTGCCCCTCGCGCGAGCTTCCTCCTGCGGGGAAGGAGGCGCCGTCCCTCCACCGCGCCGC